GGGGGCTCAGCCAACAGTTTCTGGATTGGCACTTTTCTCGCCCACTGTCTTCTCTGCTGTCCCACTGATGGGCATTTCCTTGGCAGCCTGGCTGAAAGCTGGCGAGTGGGAGTGGCACCCCCCAGCACAGCTCCTGGCTCAGAGTCGAGGTTCCCTAGATGGGAGGAATTGGAATCAAGAAGGCTCTCTCACTGCAGGGACACCCCACTCCCACGGCAGGCTGGAAATTGGGAAGATGCTGCTGATCCCTCCCTCTCCTGTTCCACCTAGTGGACGGTGGTTTGAGAGGGGGGATGGAGCAGATGGTGGCCTCAACATGGGCCTGTCCCCCTCATCAGCAGGCGCATGTCCTGCCCCCCCGGAGAGACCCTCCTCATTCCTGGGCCATGAGGCCTATGCTGATGCCTGATATTTACTGGGCAGAGAAGCTATACCCTCAGTTTAAAAATAAGGCACAGAACACATGATGGAATGTGATTCAGCCTTAGAAAGAAGGAAATGTGTCCTGATGGGCTACCGCTTGGATCCACTTGGAAGACATCGTGTTAAGTGAAGTAAGCCAGTCACAAAGTGACAAATACTATAGGAACCTGCTTGTATGAAGCACCCAGAGTAGTCAGATTCATAGAGACAGGAAGTAGGCTGCTGGTTGCCAGGGGCTGGGGGAACGAGGGAACAGAAGCTCACATTTAAAGGCTACTGAGTTTAAATTTTACAAGATGAAAACAGATCTGGAGACGAGGGTGTGATGGTTACACCACAAAGTGAATGCACTCCATGGTCCAAGCTCCACACTCAAAAATGGTCAAGGTGATCCACTTCACGAGAGGTGTATTTCATCGCAATAAGAAACAGATCAGGTGAAACCTAGGGGAGTTGTTCGCCCAAGGTTATGCAGCTACTAGGAAGTGGAGCCTGAAGTGGAACCCACACAGGGCGACTCGAATTCACACTCATCACGGACCGCTGCAGTACCAGGCGGGAGAGGGCCCCTGGTGTGCAAACAAGCCAGGGGCCAGCACAGCGCCGCAGGCCATGAGGGAGCTCTGCCAGCGAGCCTGGACAGGAATCGGGCCTCCCAGCCCCCCCGGCAGAATGGAGACTGTAGAGGTACCACCTCAAGCGGAGGAAGGGAGGATACAATGAGATCACGCTCCCAGTTGGCGCTGAGCTCAGTGCAGAGGACTGACTGCCTACAAAAAGGGCGCAGACTCCGTGGCACAGTGTGAGCCCCATAACAAAGGTTCGCTCAGTCCACTGTGGGCGTGACAGAGGAGGCAATATGACGGACATCAAGGGCACTCTTTAAAGTAGGTACCAACTGAGTGAAGGGCAGAGTAGGGTTTCAACAGGAGGCTGCACGGTGGGGATGGCGTTCTGGTGAAGGTTACAGTGGGAGGTGGGTGTGGGGACACTCTCTGGTCTCTTCTGAGAACTTGCAGCTACCCTCATGTGACTGGAGTAAAGAATTGAAAATAACCGATCAGTTCTCAGGGGTGCAAATTACAGAAACTCAGTTCAAAGGGAATTTTTGCTCACATTATCAGAAGAATGTAGGCAGTGAGCTTCAGGTACAGCTGGATCCAGATACTCAAAAGCTGTCATTCATTTAATTTTTTAAGGTTTATTTTATTCTCTTTCCAGAGAGAAGAAGGGAGGGAGAGAGAGAGAGAAACATTGATATGAGAGAAAAAACATCCATCGCTTGCCTCCATATGCCGCCACTGGAGATCGAACCCACAACCCAGGCATGTGCCCTGACCTGGAATCGAACCAGCGACCCTGTGGATACAGGACAACACTCCAACTAACTGACCCACACCAACCAGGGCAAAGGCTGTCATTTAGATTCAGTCTCTCTTCCATCCCCTGGTTCTGCTTCCCTTGCACTGGCTTCCCTATGAGACAAATGAATGTCTCCAGGCTTTCCTCCCTCCTGCTTCCACCCGCGATGGGAAAGAACAGAACTTTCCCAGTAACTTCAAACAAAGTCCCAGGGCGGGCTCCAGCTGACCCAGCTTCCATGTCAAGCCATCCCTGAGCCCTGCCTTGCTCGGAGCTACTGTTTGGACTCAGGCTTGGTCCCACCCCTGGAGCTGGGGCGAGGGGACATGTCAGTCCTGCCTGGATGACGGGGGCTGAGGGTGGAGGCTGGGCAGGTCCTCAGAGGAAACCCAGTGTGGTGTTTCTAGAAGGAGAGAAATGAATGTTAAGCAGACAAAAACATGAGGCGTCCTCTACAGGTAGCAAGAGCCAAGGCTGCAAAGAGAAGCCCTCCTCTAATTCACAGTGCCCCCCCACCACCACTTTCTGCACCTCCCAGCCTCCCGCTCCTGCTCCAGCAAGATGTACTCATTTGCACCTCTTCGGTTCCTCTCTGCACATGTCTCCACGCTCCCTGGATGCTGGGTGTAATATGGCCCCATCCCAGGTGCCAGCAACACCTTCTGGCAGCACAGCACCCGCCAGCTGCCACGCCCCACCCCAGGCCATGGCCACGTTATTTGAGTTCATGGGAACTGATGGCTGGGCTGCCTGCGTTTCAGGCTGGCCTGTTCTATAACCTCCACCCCCTCCTCGAGAGGTCCCTGGCCGTCTAGGGGAGCGTGAGACATTCTGGCCCACAATAGCCTTAATCAGGTTTTTCAGTATAATCCCAGAAGGCTCTCACTGGCTCTGCTGATATGCCGGTGCCAAATATAGAACAGGCCCAGCCACCCCACCCCGTAATTCTGTAATTTGTTCGAATCAGACAATAACACCAGCCTGGGGAGACATTATTCGTGAGAACCCAGCCAGCCCCACCTGGGCTTGGTCCAAGGCAGCATCCGTGTGGAGAGGCCTGCCTGTCGCTTCAGCCCCCTCCTCTGCATCGCCTTCTCTCTTAGCTCCCATTTCTGGTCCCAGTGGCCATCTGCTACGGCTGCTGCTGTCTCTCTCCCCTCCCCCCAAGTCCCTGAAAAACTCATGTGGAGCGAGGACAGGGGCACGCTCCCATTCATTCACCCTACAGATAATTACTGAGCTCATAGCATGCGGCAGACACTGTGAGGTGCTGTGGACGGCCACAGGACGTCAGCCCTGGCCACTCAGACGACAGCCTGTTGGGGAGGGGAGGCCCGTCGGGAGGATTTGGGGTCTTCGGTGACAAGTCTGTCAGTGAAGCAGAGCCACGAGGGGTGTCAAGGACTATCTGGGGGCAATGGAGGAGTACAGCCCAAAGTGAACAGCTGGGTGTGAGAGTAGATTCCTGCCCTCAGCTTCTCTCAAGAGCGCTGGCCCCTTGACCATGGCCATGGGCTCCTTCCTGTCCAGGGAGCACATGGGTGATTCAACCCTTCCTTTTCTGCATCCTCGCCCCTTCCAGGAATAATTCCCAATCGTTCACACAACAGAAGGGCAGCAGCACCCGCTGAGCCCAGGCAGGCCAGGGAGCCGGCTGCTGGGGGACAAGGGTGTGAGCCAAAGCCACCAACAGAAATACCTCTGAGCCTTTGCCTGGGCCATTCCCTCTGCCTGGCACTCCCTCCTCACCTCACCCACTTGTCAGAGGCCCAGTCTGACACCAGCTCAGAAGAGTCTTTTCTGACCTTTCCATCTTGCCACCTAGAACCGGGAGACTTCGGTGACAATAATAGCATCCGCTCCCGTTTTCTATGCCAAACATTTCACATGTTATTCTCGCGTCACCTGTGGGGTGGGCTCCCTTCTCCTCCTCATAGAGATGAGAAATCAGGCTCAGGAGAGGCTAGATAACAAGGGCGCAAACTCAGCCTCGCTTGGGACTGCACCCTCCCTCCCTCCCTCCCAGGGACCTGGGCAAAGTCAGCCTCAGTGGCGGGGACCATGCCTGTCAACAGGGGCCTGAAACTCACTCCCCCTCCACACCTTTCTCTTACCGATCATAACCCCATTTCCTGTTCAGACTAGCAGGAAGCAAGGTTCCCTGCTTCCTTTTAAAACTCCCAACTAGATTCTTCTTTGCCCTCTGATTCCTGAGGCTGGTCCAGCAGCAGCCCATAAAGAGGTCTTGATTTAAAAAATAAGAAGTCGGCCCTCTCCTGGGCTTTCATCTTCCTCTCCTCTGTTGTCATCTCGAGCCATTTCATGACGCTCAGCCTGTGACTCACACATCTGCGTGGATCCAGTCCTCCCCCACCACACACAGCCCACAGCAGCGGCGCTGCCGCCTTTGCTCCCTAGCAGTCTCCGCCTGTGCCAACCCCTGCCTGGAGCTCCGCATCCCAGACTCCTGGGTTAATCAGGCTGATTGGTTTTAATCAGTTCCCTGCTGCCAGCAAGTCACCGAGCCGCAGAGTGGGGTGCGCAGGGGAGGGAGCCTGATTCAGCAGGCAGGCGGGGACTTGCTGTGCGTGACTCGCAAAATGATGACCTTCTCTGAGCCTCAGCCCCTCATGTGTTCATATACGCAGGAGGGAGAATGTAATTCTAAAATAATGGAGGTGTTCCTCCATAAGGTTTTCTTGGAGCACCTACTACACGTGCTAGACCATGTTTTGGGCCGTGGGATGTACTCCGAGGGCCCAGCTTCTGAACAGAAAGGAAGCGCCTCCCTCTGGGCACTTACATTCTTTGGGGAGAGACCGAAGCTGCAGACCAGCAGGCCCCCTATGAAGACCACTAGCCCCTGGGAGGGGTTGCAGGTACTGTTGTCTCTTTGAGTCTTGACCCCAGGGCTGAAGAAATAAATGTGGGTGTTATTGGCCTATACATGGTATTTAATGACCGGGATGGTGTCGCATAGCACTTTAGACTTAATGATAATTGCTATCATTGAGTCCTATTTCATGCCAGGCATTCGATTGCCATTCTTATTTTATTCAGTTCTGAAAACAACTCTGAGCGTACCCCCGTTTTACAGCGGAGGAAAGTCAGGCTCAGAGAAGTGAGGTGTCTTGTTCAAGGTCACACGGCATGTGATCCAGGCCTGGATTTCAAAGGCCACACCCCCTCAGTGGCCCTAGCAAAGCTGCCGTGGGTGCATTCAGACAGGAGCAGGCTGACCAGTTCATTTGGGCTTGGCTGCAGAGGGCCTCGGATGCCAGCCACAGAGTTCAAGTCCATGCAGAGGCAACAAAGTGAGAGCCTCAGCCAGGCACTGAGACCACCTAGCTAACTTCCCTGGACTACTCTTCCTCCTGAGACCTAAATCCCACGGACTTTCAGCCCTCTCAGCATCCCATCTCCTGGGGGTCTGCCAGGCAGAGCTGTGACCCACCTTTCTGGAGAGGCCTGGAAGTTGGTGTCAGCTTCTCTGGAAGTAAGCTGGGGGAGCACAAAGCATCCGGGTGTCCCCTCCAGCCCCAGAGACATCCCTCCCCCAGGACAGTCAGACTTCTTTCTTCCTCTCTCAGTGTTCTGGGCTGCTGACAGCTGTCCATGCTCCCACTTCCTGTCCTGCGCTGAAGACTCGTGGGCCCTCCGAGCAGACAAGGCCCCTGAAATCATCTGGAACGAGGCCCTCACTCCCTCACAGGTAGAAGCCTGAGGACAAAGAGGTGAGTCTGGGCTGGAATACCGGTCTCCTGCCTCTGTTTCATGAGATCACGCAGTCCAGAAACCCTTCTCTTCTTTTCCTGGAGTCAGAACTGACAGGGGTGGTCAGAGTGTGCTTCCCTGGCCAGCAGCCTCAGGGCCGAAATGCTATCCCTGGGCCTGGGCCCCAGCAACCTGCGCTTTCCCAAACCCTCCAAGTGGTTCTGGAGCCTCCAAAATCTGAGAAGCATGGGCTCTGGGCTGGCCTCCCCAGTTCATTCCTTCAGGTCTCGCAGTCCTTGTTCTTCACTGGATTTGCTCAGTCATTATCCTAAATACAGACACAATCACAACACTTGCTGCCCCAAACCCTTTGGTAGTCCCCGGAATCGGACAGTTTGGGCCACCACTTCAAATTCTCTTGGTCTTGCCTCCCATGTCAGCCATAGCTGTGATGCGTAGCCCTGGGCAAGTTTGTGTGTGGTTCGCTGGTTTTCAGTGCAGGTTTTGACCAGCTTCAGGAGCAGGAGCGCCCCGAGCCTGCCTGGGTCCCTCCTGATCGTTCCCGGCCTGTGCCGTCTGTAGCCCAGAAGCGCAGGAGGAGTTGCTGCCCCACAGAGCCACCGTGGCCAATGGGAGATGGAGCCTGTGCGTAAATGTTTCCCGCTCTCTTCCTGCTTGGAGTGCTGTGGCAGCCCCAAAGGCAGGCGCAGCTTTGCTCGGGACCCACTCCCCACACCCACTCCTGGTCCCTGGATCACGCTCTTCATCTAAGTGCTCGCCCTTCGGGCTTTGCTGTGGGCTCTGCTCTCTGCACACCCTGGGCTCAGACATGCCCCATTACCTGTTCACATCCGGCTGACGGATGTCCAGTTCATGCAGGGCTAGAATCTAGGATGGAAGTCATACACTGAGCCAGACAAACTGCCCTCCTCACGGCACTAATAACCGACCACGCACTGTGGTTTTGGGGAAGGCCAGGCCCCCTCTTTGAGGCCTCCCCGTCCCGTAGTGGTGTGGCCGTGGTGATGTGAAATCAGACCCGAAAGGGACAGAGGGCCAAGCTTTCTGCAAGAGGAGAGATCCCCTACCATGTCCTCCTTTTCTCAAGCTTGATCTCTCCTCCAGCATCAGCTGGGCTCCCCTTTCCTCCCCTGCAATCCCTGGGTCCCTGGGACCTCTGCAGAATGATACAACTGTTGTGGCCACATGCCGAGCGCTCACTGTGGCCAGCTCTGTGTGTACTGGTTGTCAGAGTGGACTCCCTGGGTTTGGGTCCTGGCCCTGCCACCTGCCACCTGCATGAATTTGGACAAGAAACAACCAATCTGTGCCCCAGTGTCAGCATTTGTGAAATGAGGACAAGAATACTTCCCTTGTGGAGCTGTTAAAGAAGCAATTTAACCTACATAAAGTGTACAGCACTATGAGGGGTACCCAGTTAATGCGGTTTACATGTAGCTGTTATATTCAAGTTGTTATTCTCACCACCATCCTGTGATCGAAGCACTACCATCCAAAGATTCCGTTGGAAACTGAGGTTCAGAGAGGTTAAGTGAATTGTCCAAGATCACACAGCTGGTCAGAGGTGAAGCTGGTACTTACACCAGTCCGACCCACAGCCCTCGGCACGAAGGGACTGTAGTTCCTGGTGCTCCGGGGCTGAGTTGCATGGCTACACCTTTCCTCCACCTTGAAGGAAGGCCTGCCTGGGCCCTGCTTGAGCCCCCATCTGTGGATGGGCTTGGATCATGTGATGGAGGGAGAACATCCGGGGGACTTTTAGGGGCCTTGGGTACAGACCGGCCTCCATCCCCCCAAACCTTGCTCTCTTTCTCTTGAATCCACTCACCCTTTCCCCAGCATTCGCTGCGGCCAAGCGGCGATGTATGGGCTGCTGGCATCGGAGAAGGAATTGGTACATAACCTTGTTTTGAAAGCGTCATCTCAAAGCAAGGTCATGCTCTTGGAGCCCTACTGGGGTTAAACAAAGGACAGCTTTGTGGTTAAACACACCTGGAAAATGCCAGGTTAAATCAAGTGGAAAGGCCTTTTTGTCCTGGGACTTCTGAGAACCTTTAACACGTCCTTGGGAATGTGGCTCTTCAAAGAGGAGGGAAGCAGGCACGTTTCCTGGGCAGATTACCCAGGGTGCCCCCCTCCTGAGGACAGCCCTTCAGACTGACTGACTGTACTTTGCGTATAGCTGCTGCAGTGTTTGGAGCACTTCTCCCCTCTTACAGACGGACAGATTGCCTTAGACAGATGGGGGCTTCCCTCCTGCCTGGGAAGTCTGTTCCCTGCTCTTGGAAGAAGCCATGAATCACTCATCCTGTGCTTTGGGTGCCAGCTCTGGGGTGCGGGAAAGATTGTGCTCTGCGAGAAGGTGCGCAGCTTCCTGGCTTAGGAAGTGAACGCCCCCTTGGAGGGCGGAGCCCACAGTGGCTAAGGTTACCTATTACAACCATGTCAGTCACCCAAATTGAGATTTCTCCATACTAGTTAGTTAAAAGCTGCTTCTCTGAGCCCTCGTGGCCTCCTACCCCTACTGCTGACCTAGCCACCCTAGCCCCTCGCATGGGACCCTCTGGGGCAGCCAAGAGGTTAATGCTTGGCACAGCCTCCAGCAGGCCTGGGTCTGATTCCAGCTGGTCACAGCCCTGCCATACTAGGTGATAAATCATTTGAATATCATTCTGGGTATCAACCATGAGTGCCCATCAGATGCTCTGACACCTGAAGAGGTGAGCAGATGAAGAACATGGGGCCAACGGTACACTAGAGAAGATAGAGCACAGGCTTGAGAGGCAGATCTTTCCAGCTCTTTCCCTGCCGTTTCTCTGCCGTGGGCCCTGGAGAGGTTACCCTGCCCCCTAATTCCCAGCATCGTCACCGGCAGGCAGGGGGGTACTCGGGTCAGCTGAGGGCCTGTTTCTTCCTCACGGCACCCAGGGCAGGATGCTGGTAGGGGGAAGGTGCCCAGAGTGAGGCTCCTCCTAAGCACCCCTTGCCCAGAACGGCCTGCTTATTAAGGGAGCTGTTCCACATCCACAGCTAATTACCCTCTAACTGCCTGCTCCCCGCTGGGCCCCTCCTGCTTTCTGCCTCCTGCCTGGGCAGGAGCTGGTGTCTAATTGGAAGTCACTGTGCCAACCTGGCAGGACTCCACTCCTGCTGGGGCAGGCAGTCTGGGTGCAAGACTGGCCTCGCCTGGCTCCTGAGGGCCACTTCCAGCTGAGGGACAGCAAAGGCGAGTCTGGCTTCGGCTGACTTACTGAGCCAGGGAGAGTGGGACAAGAAGGGTGTCCGCTGGGCTCGCGGTGTTAGAGGCTCTGCATCGGTTTATTTTTCTGTAAAAGCAATCTAGAGTAGTGGCGAAGGGTGCACAGATGGAGCCCAGCAGACCTGCTTGGAATCCTGACTCTCTGATGACCAGCCCATGGCTTTAAAAGCCTCGTCTGATCCTCCCTGTTCCCACTTGAAGAAAGTTAGTGCTGGTGGGGGGCGGCCATGAGAAAAAGACCCAGAGAACTTAGCACAGAGCCCAGCCCGAAGCCGTGGTTACAGCCACACACTCCTAACTCCGTCCTACCTCCCTGCGTCAAAGCCCCCCCCCCTTGCACGCACTGTATCTCATTTAATGCTCACAACCGAAGGAGGTTAGTTGATTTTTTAACAGGAAGAGAAACTGCGATCCAGAGAGATAAAGTGACTTGTTCAAGATGCAAGCAGTAAGCGGAAGAGGTCTAACCCTGCTGTTCTGTCTGCATCTCCTCCTGACATTCATTCATAAATACACATTTATTAGACACCTAGTACATGCCCCACTTGATTCTGGCAAGGACTGACCTCGAGACTTTTGGTCGCCTTCATGGCTGTGGCAAACACTGTAGCTCCTTTGCCTACCCCCTTTTTCCTGTACGCCTCTGCTGTGGAGGTGAGAGAGATACATACACAATTTCTAAGCCTCTTAGAGCTAGAGATGTATCTGACCATCTGCTGGGGGGAGTCAGGGCGATCAGTAGTGGGAGGTGGGTTGGTCATTAGAGGAAACCTTTGAATACTTCTAAAGACTTACAACTCCACTCATACAGAGAGCAACTTCTACTCTCTTCCTTCCATAGATACAGACGTGAGTTCTGGAGCTGCAGCAGCCATATTGTGACCGTGAGATCTCCCATGTAAAGAGGAAAGCCAGTAAGCTAAGGGTGTCCAAGCAGACTGATTGGAATCCTGGCTTCCCGACAGCATTGTGGAGGCCTGAACTGCCGCCCCAGTCACCCCTCCCCATTGCTGTGGGGGCCAAATTTAGGCCAGTGATTCTCAAACTGTGGTGCCCGCTCAAACAGCAGCATTGGGACCATAAAGAAACTTGCTTAAAAAGCAAAATTTTAGCCCTCCTTGACCATGAACACCTGCAAAACCCCAAACTCTAAGACATCAGGGTTTTAATAGATCTTTCTCAGTGATTCTGATCACACTGAAGTTTAGGAGCCCCTGGGCACTTGTTTATTCACATCTGAGTGCAGGTCTCACTGAAACCACCTCTCTGAGCTTTCTCTGCCTAGAATGCCCAATCTCCCCTTTCTTTCTTAGTCTTTTAAGTTAAATGCATTCATTTTAATCATAGAAACCCAGAATGGCAGAAAAGTCAGCTGTTGCAATTTGGCAAGGTGGATGGTTGTAATTTTAGATTTGATCTCAGCCATCTTGGAGGGCTAGATATAGACAGGCCTAAAACTGCACAATTGTCCCATTTTTTAAAAATTTCTGCTTCCAGATAGAACACTCAGAACTGGTGTTCGCCTCCTGCCCTTTCCCATTATACCAGAGGGAGCGGTCAGCCTGCTCCAGTCCCCTCACTCAGTGGCCGCAGTTCCCGGGGGGGGGGGGGGCTCCGCCCAGTAGGGCTGCACTCTGAGCCTGTGCTCATTCACCACCAGCGGCTTTGATGTCAGGGCCGATGTTTTAGTTCAACTTTGCTGAGTGACAAACCACTCCAAACCTTGGTAGCTTGGAATCA